AAAAAAAAAAAAAAAAAAAAAGAAGCAGGAACTGGAATAGGCAGTGATGGTGCCCAGGGAGGCAGAGGCTGGTATATCTCTGTGAATTGGAGGCCAGCCTGGTCTACAGAGAGAGTTCCATGAAAGCTTCAAACCTTGCCTTGAAAAACAAAACAGAACGGCAAGAGGAACTGTTTCAGAAAGAAGGGGTATGTGGAAAAAGGATCCTTTCGTAGAGATAATATCCTGCTGAAGAATTTCCTTAAGATTACAAATCTAGACAAGACTTGTAATCTTAATTACTCAGGAGGCTGAGGCAGGATGATTCAGAAATCTGAAGTCAGCATGGGGTACAGAGTGACTTCCAGTGTCTCAATTTTCCAGTGAATCCTTCATTTTGTGAATTTCCTTATTATTGCTGTTGTTTTGAGACAGGGTTTCTCTGTGTAATGCACACTCATCAATCTGTAGATGAGGCTAGCCTCTAACTCAGACTCTGCCTCCCCAATGCGGGGATTCGAATTCTCCCACCCTCACCCCAGGGTTTCTCTGTGTAGCCCTGGCTGTCCTGGGACTCACTTTGTGGACCAGGCTGGCCTCGAAACTCACAGAGATTGCCTGGCTCTACTTCCAGAGTGCTGGGATTAAAGGTGTGCGCCACCACCACTGGGCTTGAATTCTCTTTTTAATGCAAGTGGGACATCAAACAGTCAGGTACATGGGGTCCTTTTAGTATCTAAATTCTCACTATTTGATCAGAAAACCAAAGACATGGTAAGAGGTATCTTCATTCAGAAAAATAGGAAAATTGGCAATTTGTCAGATGACAGGCAAATTAGGAGAAAAGTAACCAAAAAAGCCCACTTCCCAGGTTTGAGAGAGGAGGCAATGGGACAAAGGATGACTGCAGTCCCACTAACTGAGGCACAAGCGAGAAAGCCTGCTGAAAATGCACACTCATCAAAACAACCATCTTCACATTCTCCTATAAGAAATGTCTATATTGTGCACTACAAAAATTAGGATTCAAGACAAACCATTAAAAAAAAATCACATCAAGGCGGAAGAGATGGCTCAGCGGCTGAGAACACCAGCTACTCTTCCAGGGGTCCTGAGTTCAATTCCCAGCAATCACATGGTGGCTCACAACCATCTGTAATGGGATCTGGCGCTCTCACATCAGCAGGGGGGGCTGTCAAGCCTTTAATCCCAGCATTTGGGAGGCAGAGACAAGTGGATCTCTGAGTTCGAGGCCAGCCTAGTCTACAGAGTTCCAGGACAGCAGATGTTAGCCAGGGGGAACCCTGTCTTGAAGGGAAAAATAATTCCACCAGTAACAGAGTGAGAACGTGCCTAGGATGCTGCCTGGAGGTCTAGGTACACCGCCAGTACCACCGCCTTAAAGCAAATTTATCCTAACAGAATCTTTAAATGAGAAACCGTTAAGTTACTGCAAATACATTAGGCAGTATGGAAATGGCAAGAGCGAACTTTAAACTCTGAGCCTTTCTACCTAACATTATAGTCTAAACACGAGTTGTCTGGGGCTGTAGCTCAGAGGCAGAAATGGTTATTGGAAGCTCTCTGGGCACCATCCCCAGAGCCCGTGGAGTTTTACTTATTTTTAACCTTAAATGCCTTCTGTACCAACTCCCCCTGAACGGAGTATTTACTATTTCAAACAGATCAGAAGTAATTTATTTTGCCTCCATCATTAAACAGAAAAAGAACGCAATCTTGTAGCTTGGCTTGGTGGCGCACGCCTTAAATCCCAGCACTCGGGAGGCAGAGGTAGACGGATCTCAGTGAGCTCGAGGCCAGTCTGGTCTACAGAGTGAGTTCCAGGACGCCAGGGCTACACAAAGAAACCCTGTCTCGAAACACCCCCCCCCCAATAAAATAATTTCTTGATTACTGTACAACTACTTTAAGAGGTGGCCAATGGCAGTCTGGTCGGGTAAAACAGTTCTTGACTGAAGAAACTAAGTATTTCTTACCATTGGCTTAGGTATTATGCCGTTTCAGGTTTGGCCTCAAGTCTATTTAGTTTGGAAGTAATCACACCAGCAAACAAGGCTCGACTAACCGACACAATCTGTGCAATAGGTCGAAATTAACTTGTTAATTTCTGTCCTACCCCGGGACATGATCTTTCGTGAATCGGAAGCCGTTACACAGTTCGGATAACCGGTCCAAAATAAAGGACAACTTAATCTAAAGAGCCTAGCAAGTCGGCATCATTATCTGAAAAGAAAGCCCTGCTAGTTCTTTTCGGTGCAAGGAGCCCGACTTGCTAGGAAAACCGGTCACCGCTCGGTTTAAGCCAGGGCACTGGAGGTGGGCAGTGGCGGTTGGGTCTCTCCATTCCGGGAAGAGCTGCGGGGCAGGGACGCGCCGACCCCTCGCCCGAGCTCCCGCGGCAACGAGAAGGGCGGGCGGGCGGGCGGAGGCCGTTAGCAGGCCAGGCCGCGCGCACGCGGCTTTCCCGCCTCCCTGCGAGCACAGAAGCCCGACTCTCCGAGCCCGCCCAAACCTTGTTCCCGCCGCCCTCGCCCCGCCTGGGGAGCCTCCTCACCTCACGAGCTTCATCCTAGCGCTGCAGCCTCCCTCTGGACACGGAATTCAGGCCCCAAAGACTCCCAGACAAGCCGTATGAATGGCCGGAAGAGCGCGCGGAGGGCTGCGGATGCGCGGCGAAAACGCGGAAGCCGCGCTGCCTTCCGGCGGCCGGGAGAGCGACAGCGGCCCCTAGCGACGGGAGGAGTGCTTTGCGCCTTCTGAATGCGTGATGGCTGGTGGGAGATGTCTGCAGGAGGATTCACAAACGTTAAAACCATTTATGGGAGTTCTGAGAGACCCTCTAAGACTTAGGTTTGATCCTTGGGACACACATGTTGGAAGCAGAGAACTTAGTCCCGCAAATTGTCCCTAGTCTGTTTGACCACTAAGTTGAGCCAATCAGATCTTTGGACAGCATGGTTTTCCTCTGGGGACGTGAATTGTACTAATCCCCTACTGAGCACCTTCTTAAAAATAGGAAAGCCATTCTCAGGACAGAGTTTTAAATAAGCCCTTCATTATATAGTAAGTTCTTCGACTTAAAAAAATTATATGTGGCCGGGCGGTAGTGGCGCACGCCTTTAATCCCATCACTCGGGAGGCAGAGGCAGGCAGATCTCTGTAAGTTTGAGGCCAGCCTGGTCTACAAGAGCTAGTTCCAGGACAGGAACCAAAAGCTACGGAGAAACCCTGTCTCGAAAATCAAAAAAAAAAAAAATTATATGTGGATACTTCAGTTGAAATTAAATAATTCAACTCCTTATTTGCAATAAACACATTGTAACTACTCAACATCTATATGTGTTTCTGATTACAGTGTAGATAATTCCCACTATCATAAGAAGTTTGGATAATACTGGTTTACTATCATATTTGTTTGAGTCTTACAATTATTTACTTATCTACTGTACTCAGGAGAATTAGTTTTTTGTCTGAAAACAAAAAACTGAATCTGTTTACTGCACTCTCCAGCATCCAGTATCCCCACAAAACATCCCTGCCCCATTGTATGGGAGCTGGTCCCAGGGCCTATGAGACCAAAGAAGGAGGCAATAGGTCCAGAATTGCAGTGTGCAGTTTACGAGTGACTTACAACAGAAGCATGGGCCTGGACATCAAGAAAAGCACATAGGTCCTTGAAACGTGGGTTAGAAGATAGGTGGGTTATAAAATCGGGTAAAGGTTATTCCAGAGCTAGGCATGGTGGTGCAAATTTGAGACCATCAGGTACCACATGAGTAGACTCTATCTCAACTCTCCTCTTCCCCCTAAAAGTGATCTCCCCTGTCAGACTGTATGCAATCTGTCTCCAGCTACTATCAGATTAGAATCAGGCACATTCTTAAGCCAAGCTCTGGTCATAAAGCTTCACACACCTCTCTCAGGAGTTTGTCTGTTTTATGCTGGGAAAACTGACCAGGGTGACTCAGGGGTAATTGTTATAGTTACCACTCAAGATGGTTTCAGTAATGTCAAGACAAACCTTGAGTCCTTAATTAGTATTCACAAACAAATGTCTCCCCAGTGGAATGAATGCTTTATAAAGAAAAACTTGTTTCTTTATACATGTTCATGTCATCCACTGCAGTAATGCCAGCATTGAACACCAGATACTCCTTAGAATCCACAACAACCTTTCCACTTTGGGGCCCACCTTCCTTCTGACCCATCTTTTCCCCCTCAGTAAGATGGGAATGTCTAAAGTCTTGTAGTTCATCGAGCTCGCTCTTCTTTTCAGATGTTTGTGCTTGTAATCTTATAGTCTAGCTGACACCTATTGATTCTCTCTCAGCCATGTGGGCACGGCATAATTGCATGCATATGCTAGTGTTGATTCTCTCAGATGTTAAATTGAAAAGCCATTGTCAGTGGTGGTGCATGCCTTTAGTTCCAGCATTCACACTCAGAAGGCAGAGGCAGAGAGAGGTCTGTGAGTTCAAGGCCAGCCTGGTCTACAAAAGCAAGTTTTAAGACAGGCAGGACTGTCACACAGAGAAATCCAATCTTGAAAAACCAAAAAAGAAAAAGAAAAACCATTGTTGTTAGATCAATAACAAACATGTTTTCTTTTGTCTTTATTTTGGAGTTTGATTTTTTTAAATTTAGTATATCGCAAGGGTCAGCAAGATACTGCTGAAGCCGTGAACTTTTTAAAAAAAGAATTTCTTACCCTCTCACAGTATGAAACTGTTATGTGATCTGAAGTTAAGATAGCAGGATGAAACAAAGTAAACCTATTTGCTGCAAGCAATAGGGTCGGTGTGAGAGTAGGATTGCTCTGTGCTCGGTGACGTAGCAGAGATTGTATATGCTGCATTAATGAGATTGGTCACAGCAGAGGGCAGAGAGTAAGGAAATGAGAGTGTGTGAGTGGGGGCACTGTGCCTGTTTAAAGAAATGAGTGGGCTTTTGTTGCTGTTTGGGGGTTGTTTGTTTTTCAAGACAGGGTTTCTCTATGTAGCCTTGGCTACCCTGGAACTCTCTCTGTAGCTGACCTCAAACTCATAGAGATCCACCTACCTCGGTCTCCTGAGTGCTGGGTTTAAAGGTGTGTGCCGCTACCACCAGTCTTTTTATTTTTAATGATGTATTTCTACTTTTTATGTGCATTTGTGTTTTGCCTGCATGTATTACGTGCGAGAGTGTCAGATGCCCTGGAACTGGAGTTACAGCAGTTGTGAGCTGCCATTGAGTGTTGGGAATTAATCCCAGATCCTTTCAAAGTGTTCTTAACCACTGAGCCATCTCTCCAGCTCCTGAACTGGGTGTTATTATTATAAGAAAGTACAGGAAACTACACCTTGAGTTGGAGATGTGTTTGCCTGGCATGCATAAGGCTCTGTGTGCTGTCTTCAGCACAGCACAGTACTTGACGTGATGGTATATAAATGTCTCTAATCTTGGCACTCGAGAGATAGGGGCAAAAAGCTCAGACATTGAAGGTCGTCTTCAGCTACACAGTGAGTTCCAGGACAACTGAGCTACATGAGACCCAGTCTCAAAAACAGAACCCAAACCAAACAAGTTTGGAGTCATCAAGGAAAACAAATGTGGCTAACAAGTCACAGTTCTTAATTTAGCCAGAAAACACACTTGAAGGCCATAGCCTTTGTTTCAGGCGTGGCAGATCACAAGGCTGAACCAATCAGAACTTTCTCCTGTCATTTGACTGCTGTCCTTCTGTCCTGAGCTCTAGTGATCTTTGTCCTGATGTCAGCAAAGCCTACATGAGAGTGGATGCAGAGGAGAGAAAAGGGTGCAGGGTAAAAGGGCCCAAGCACACTCCTAGGGCTAAAAATTACATCAATCCTTGAGTTTGTTCCAAGCTTAGGAGTTGAAATCCCACCAATACCTCCCCTCAAAAAGTTCTGCCCCTAAGAGCCCCCAAATAAACCCACCTCCCTCTTGGTTCTCTGCTGCTTCTCTCCGGAGCAGAGGCAGCCACTCGTCTGTGTTCTTCCCAGTAGATCTTTTGTGAGGTTTGTTGTGTGGTATGACTTGCACCATTTGACAGTTACTCAGAACTGTAACGCTTACAGAGGTGGGCATTGTAGTATCCTGTTGACATAATTTGAGCTTCAGGATGGTCTGAGGTCAGTTGCTCCCCCACAGCTTCCAGTTATAATAGCCAAAATGACTTTTAAAAAATTAGCTTATATTAGTTTTAGGTGGACACTAATCACTTCAAACTGACAAGATCTGGATAAGTTTTTATTTGTATTATCAAATATTTCTTTCTCTCTCTTAAGAATAAAAAAATCATGGCTGCACCAAGGTGACACACGCCTTTAATCTCAGTATTTGGGAGGCAGAGGCAGGCAGATCTCTGTGAGTTCGAGGCTAGCCTGGCCTATAAAGCAAGTTCCAGAACAGCCAGAGCTGTTAAATGGAGAAACCCTATCTTGAAAAACCAAAAAACCCAAACTTTTCCCAGGGAGACACAACACATACATACATACATCTACTCACCCAAGATAGGGAGCCCCACAAAGACCAAAGCACTGATTCTTCCAAAGTCCAACTTGGTGAACCAGTGAATTTTGGAAGGGTTACTTATAGGAATGTGGGTGATGGGTGAAGGAGGCACCCCCACACAGTGGGGGGGGGCTTCCCCTCACAACCACACCCAAACACCTGTTTTTACAGAGAGATCTTTTATTAAACTGGGAAGAGAAGTTATAGTGGCTGCTAGCAAATGACCTTGCAGGTGTGAGGGTTTTGTTTTGTTCTGTTTTTTTTTTTTTTTTTTTTTTTTTTTTTTTTTTTTTTTTTTTTGTTTTTGAGACAAGGTTTCTCTATAGCTTTGGTGCCTGTCCTGGAACTAGATCTTGTAGACCAGGCTGGCCTCAAACTTACCTGCCTCTGCCTCCCGAGTGCTGGAATTAAAGGTGTGTGCCTCCACTGCCCGGCTGCAGGCGTGATTTTTAAGAGGAGGAAAAGGGGACATCCATGTTAGAATGGGCTAGGATGCTGTGGTAGAGGGGATGCGGGTGGGGAGAAGGGAAGGGGTGATTTTCCTGGAGGGAGAAAGGATTGCCTCTGAATGGAAAGGAAACACAGAGGCAAATGGTGGTTTATAAAGGTAAAGGGAGAATTCCCATGTTAGAAGGAGGTGATTAATTTAATGGGGGCTTTTGATTTCCGGACTTTGGTAGTCAGCCTCAGGTGGAGAAAGTGGCCAAATAAGGGAATAGACCTTGGGGCTAGTTTTAGGAATGTAACTCTATTGGTTTTTTACCAAAGCAGAGGGAATGGGGGAGAAGGGCAAGGCCTACTAAAGCCACATGTTTGAGTAGGCTACTGTTCCTTAAAGGAGTCACTTACAGGAGCAGAAATGTCACAAAGACAACTACATCACCAAAGTCCACCCCAGTATAGGTTGAAAGAATAAAAAGAAAGGTAAACTGGGTATCTTTCAGTGGACCCTGTGTTATGGTTTTCTGTCTCTTTAAGAGACAAGCCACGCCCACTCCCACTCCGCTCCCTCCCCCATCCGCTGAGGCAGGCTGATCTCCAGCTTCCGGCCTGAGCTCACTCTCTTTTCCATCTTCCTCTCGGAGAGGCAGCTTCGCTTCCATCTCTCTCCCCACTTCTCTGCTTCCCCCTTCTCTGTCTCTTTCTCCTCCCCTCCCTCCCTCCCTCCCTCCCTCCCT